TTTTTTTTAATCTTTTCAAGAGCACAGCGAGGGAAGCCGGGATGGAGCAGGATGGAGCAGCGGCCCCGGTGCCTGGCACGTGCCCAGGGAAGCCAGGATGGAGCAGCAGCCCCGGTGCCTGACACCAGCCTGGCTGTGTTCAGCCGGTCCCACCTCCACTCTGGGAGGGATTCGATGTTCCTTTAAGCTTGGCAGGGACTGGGAGAGGGGCCAGCCAGCCATTGGTGTCTGTGGGAATGCCCTGTCTGGTATGGGCACGGGGATCACCATCACACCGGGTCTGGTGTGAGCTGTGGAGGGCAAAGGATGCTCTGAGAGTGGTGTGGTTTGGAGAGGCAGGTGGGGCAGTGCCATGTCCCACTCGCAAGCACAGTTCCAGGGCTTCCCTGCTGGAGGGGCTTGTGCTTCCAGCAGATCTGACCCCCCTTCCTGGGGAGAGGAGCCTCACTGGGGTCGTTCTTGCTTGGTTTCTGTGGAGCAGCAAACGCTTTCCACTGCCTGACAGTGGTCCTGTGAGCGTGGCTGGGGTGTGATGGCTCCGAGGCAGGTGAGGAGAGCTGGGGGGTGAAGGTGAGCACCGAGGGTTGGCTCTTCCCAAAGAAGTTGCTGGGAGCAAGATGAAAGTGGGAGATGAAAGTGCCCAGAGGTGAGATCCCATTAAAGCAGTGCCTGGGCTTAGCCGGTCCCTGGTTCCTTAAATATCTTCTAATTTACAGTAATGCTCTAGATTCGTCTCAGCTCCCCCAGACTTTTATTTTAATCCCCTTTCCACATTTCCATGTGTTTATGTGTTAATTAAAGGGTAAAAAGCCACTCTCGGAGCAATCCCGGCTGCTGCTTCTCCTCCAGCCGAAGCCTTTTAAGATTAGCAGCCGCTTCCTAAAGCCGGCAGTGCCGGAGCAGGACGGGCAGGCTGCTCAACTTTCCATAGCTCGGAGCAGATCCCGTGCCTGGGATCCAGCCTCCCCCAGTCCTCTTCTCCCAGCTGTGCAGAGCAGCATCCCACGGAGTTCCGAGAGCTTTGGGGGGATTTGCTGGGTCTGTTGCTCCTCCAGCATCTGCTGGTACCTGCAGGAGCAGCTGCTGGAGGGAGGACCCTCCCCGTACAGCCTCAGCTCCCCTCAACATCCTGGACAGGCTGGGGCTGGAAGGAAGGGTCTGGAAAATGCACTTTTGGGCCGGGATGTGGTGGGAAGGGCAGAAATGGCCTCTGGAGCCACAGTCCTGTACTGTGTGTCAGCGTGTGGTGTCACCTGTGCTGTCCTGTACTGGTTCATCAGCAGGGCCTTGCTGAGCTCCTGGAGGTTTGGGAGCATTTTCCCACTGCTGTTTCCCACCATTCTTCCTCATCTCTCCTTGGGTGATGGTTTTGAGCTCTTTGAGTTTGGATCTGGGGAAACTGAGGCCGAGGGGCTCCCACAGTGGTTGGGGACAGGGACTGGAGGACAGGGGCAGCGGGGAGGAGGTGCCTGTGGCAGCCTGTGAAGGACAACCCAAAGTTACAGAGCCCCTGAGGATCGTGGTATTGAGGATAATTAAAAATAGGGAAAGCTGCTAAAATAGGTGTTGAGGCAATTGCTTCTGAGGAGCTCGTGGTGGGGCTGTGCCTGTTCCTGCGGGTCCCGGGGGCCAAGAGGTGCCATTTAATTTTCACGTCCGTGGCGCAGAATCAGGTGGAGAAGTGGCATCGCTTTGGGTGGGTCTGGACACCCCAAAATTCCTTGGGAGCTTTTGGGGAGAAATCACTGTAAATGCTTCATCTGCTGTTCCTGCTCCTGAAGATCCCGTGATCTTCAGCGCAAATGTTTGTTCCTAGTTTATCCTCTCTCTTGCCTCTGTGTCCATCCTTCCCTTTCCCCCAGTGCTCCACAAGGCTCCGTGGCCGTGCCCGGCTCCAGGCATGGCACACGCGCGGCGCTGCCACGGGAAGCGTGGCACACGCGGTGGGAGCCGCGTCCAACATCCCGGCAGCTGATCTGCCCCCCTCCCTCGCAGGGAAGCTCCAGGCATCCATCAGCCTGTTAATTGCGCTAATTAGAGAGTGTGGAGGTGTTAATTGGAAAACCCTGGGATCGTGCCTGTTTGCGGGAGGGATGGATGTCAATAAAGCGGGATTGATGACTCGGCGTGGCACGTGCACCGCGCGGGTTAGCGGCAAGTCGGGGGATGTCGAGGAAATGTTACTGCTCAGACGAAGCAGTTGTTAATTAAAAGCAAGGGTAATTAAAACACCCTCGTTGCCATATGGTCCCGCTGAAGGCAGGGGGATTCGTTGCTCCGTTTGTAATTCTCCGTTTCCTTCTCTTTGTCCTACGGAAGGTGCGTGGTTGAGTAAAAGGGGAAAAAAAAAAAGGCAGAGCGGTGGTTCAGCGAGGAGATTTTGAGTCTGAAATGGTAATTAATGGTAATTAACGATCCTTTGGCGCAGCTTCTGTTGCTGTTACCATTGGATGGGGCTCCTCCCTCCCTCCCCTTTTAACTAAACCCACCCTTTCCCGCTTTATCCGGGTATTGCATCTTCCCGCTGACTGCCTGGTCATGGTCCCTGCCTTTCTGCCTGGGGGAAGGTCTGATCCTGATTAGACCCTGCGGATACCAGCGTATGGAGAGCCCCTGAAATACTGGCTGTGTTTGAACTGAAGTAGATGAGAGGCAGGAGCTGGGATGCTGTGGATCCCCCTGGCTGCGTGCAGGGATGCACGTGTGCTCGGCATCGCAGCCGCTCGCGAGGCTGAGGTTCGCTCTTCCCCGTCGTCCCAGATCAGTCCTGGCTGGGAAAGTGCTCCTTCCTAATTTAAATCCACTTTATAACGTTGCAGACACTGGCTTCGTTTTCTTTTTTTTTTCTTTAAGGTTTTGTAAAACTTTTACAGGAATGGAAATATTTTCATTATTATTATTATTATGACTTTCTTTTATGACTTCCCTTGCAGCGTTGGGATCCCAGACGCTCCAGCGTCCCGTAGGGTTTGTGAACGGGAAGTCGAGTTTTACTAGACTTGGAGAGGGAACCCAACTGGCCCGGTGTCCCCGGCTCCGGGAATCACCCGGGCTGCGGGAATCTGCTCCAGCATCCCGCCTCTGGCAGGGCCGGGGCCGCCGGAACGAGCCCACAGCTCCTCCACCAGAAGAGATTTCCTCCTAATTCCCAATAGTTAAGCTTCAGTTTATGCCCGAAGCCAGGAAAGTTTTATATCCTTTCCAAAAACCTTTTTTTTTTTTTTTCTTCCCTTTTTTAATACTTCCTGTTGTAACTCTGGATATTCTTGTTCTCCGTATAAAAGTCAAATCCCTGTTTGAGTCCCGACGAGTTTCTGGCCGCGGTGATGCCGTGTGACTGCCGGACATGGGCAGAGCCCGGCACTCCCTGTGGTGCCTGGTCAAAACACGGAGCAGGCAGTGGATTTCAGAAGGAAAATGGGAACAGGAACAGCAATAATTTAGTATTTCTGCAGATATTTGTTGAAATCGAAAGGGGGGAAGGAACAAATGTAGCTTTTAAGGCAAAAAGTGTTTTCTTTCTTCTAGATTTTTACTCCTAACGCAGCGTCCTGTGAGCACCTCATCCTTTCTTGAGCCCTGGGAAGCTGCTCCAGCCGTGCCATGCTCTCATCCCTTCTCCTGTGCTTCGACCAAACCCAAATCCCAGTAATCCCGTTAACCTTGAACTGTCCCACAGCTACTGGTGTGTCACCCTGTGTGGATTCGGGAGCACTGGGACAGTGGGAGGGAACCAGCAGCTCCCCATGGGAATTAATGTCAGTCATATACCCTGCGGAAATGACTTTTGAAATGCATATAATCTCAAACATGCAAATGAGCAGCTCGCTGCACCCTGTTTAATATGAATGATCAGCCCTGAATAGCGATTATTACACGCCACATTTCAGCAATTATGTTGTTCGTGGTTTGTCTCTCCGGCTTTTGGGGCGGGGGGGAGGAAATGGGGGGAAAAAAAGAGGGGGGGGTGAAAAAAGGGAGAGGCAGCGTTGCTTCTCCCCGTCCTCTTTATTCCCCTCCTGTTTCAAACTCTGCGAGCGGCGCTGATCCCGCGCCGGCACCCGCCTGTGGGGATGGGGATGGGGATGGATGGGATGGGATAAAACTGTCCTCTGCTTTTCCACAGAGGAAAGTGTGCTGGAAGGAGGGGGAGAGACCCTCACTCCAGGGTGGTTCCTGTGCCCCTGATCACTGTACGTGTGCCAGGGCTGGACGTGGCCCCAGGGCCTCGGTGGATGCTGTCGTAGGGGCATCGATGTTGGATGCGATGGTTCTGTTTCCTCCAGTGCCCAGGTCCAGGAGTTTCTCCCAGAAAAGGGGACCCTCAGGTTCGCAGCCAACAACCTGCCCAGTAATCCGAGCCAGCTGAGCAAAGGCTGGGAGGAAGGGAGGATTTTCCACTTAATGTGTCGCTGTGTTCTCGTTGCCGCGTCCCAGCTCTGCCGAAACTTCGGGGTTTCCTCAGCCTGCCAGCAAACCTTCTGCCGGGTGGTTTTTCCTGCCAGGTGGTTTTTCCTGCTGGGAAGTGCTGGTTTGCTGGGAGCTAAAGCACTTTGAGGAAGTGTTTTGACTTTGTTGGGATTTTCACAGTGAGATCCGTGGCACAGGCTCCCTGCACTCCGTGTGCAGCCTCGCTGGGACTCCAGCTGTGCCGTCTCCAGCATCTCAAAGGGAAATATTTTGGGATTCAGTGAAAATACCCGGATTCCTGGGGCTTTATGTCTTGCATCAGGCTCAGTGAAAGCTGGAATCATGGGTTTTCCTGAGGAACGAGTTGCACTTGCCTTGCCCAGGGATGTGCAGGGCCTGTCTGTGGCAGCTCGTGCCGCTGCACGTTTATTTTTTGGGGTAAATTGAACGCAGCTAAAACCAGGCAGGGTTTGACATCCCACCCTTGCAGGATGCCAGGGACAGGGCAGGCAGAACGGGGATGCCAGCCGGGGATCCCGGACTCCGTTCTCAGCCTCTGCTCTCTCCTCCTCCTCCTCAGGTCCTGCTAGCGAGTCATGATGGTTGAATCTGCCTCGGAGACGATACGTTCCACCCCCTCCGCCCAGAACGGGGTGAGCAGCCTCAGCCAGCAGCCCGATGGCGGCGGGGGCGGCGCGGGGGGCGGCGGGCGCGACGGAGCCGCCGGCGAGGCCAACGGAGAGATGAGCCCCGTGGAGCTCCTGCACTTCCAGCAGCAGCAGGTAGGACGGACACACCCCGTTCCTTCCCGCCAGCCTTGCACAAGGCAACACAGATCTGGGTCTTTCCGGGATGTGGTTTGGGGGCAGCACTTGGTTTTACCCCTCCTCGTCCCGTGGGTTCTGCCAGGCTCGGTCATCCCTGTTGGGGCTGCAGGTGCTGCCCCAAAAAGCAGGTGCCTGTCCTTGGGGTGCACATCCCTCGGGAGATGGAGCCCATCTATCCGTGGGGTTCCTGGTGCCCCAGAGATGGCTCTGTTTTGAGGGGGGGAGGTCCTGCCTGCTCTGTCCCCCATCGGTCTGGGAAAGAGGTGAGGAAGAGGAGGAATGTGAGGCCAAAGGCCTTGGCTGTAACACAAGAGCAGGTGTTCTCCAAGTCTGTATTTGGTTGTCCAGGTGGGTGAGCGGAGCTGGTCCCCCACTCCTTGGGGCTCCTGGTGCCTTCAGCTGAGGAATTAACCTCACACACATGGCTGAGAACACGTGTGACCGTGACATGTGTGTGCAGCAGCTCTGTCCTTGGGCACACGCGTGTGCCCCTCGGGGAGCCCCTGGCACACGTGTCCCCTCAGGCAGCCGTGGGGAGGGGGGAGCCGTGCCTGCAGGTTACCTTTCAAAACAAACTTTGGCAAAAACATAAATTTTCCTCCTCGGCTACTAAATAAGGCAATGATCCCTGCCTCGTATGGAGATCGCCTCCCTGAGCCATAAATTCCAGCGTGAAAGCTGTAAAAAATTGCTGTGTCTGATACTTTAGTAGTGAGTGCTGTAAATCCATTACCTGGATAACAGCCGTTTCGCACGCAGTTAAGCCCCTGTTCCCCGGATCCGAGGGGTAATCATGCGTGTAATGCTGCTGCCAGTGCCCGCCGAGGAGCCGCCCGCGCTCCCCTCCCCGAATTCCGCACCCGGGGGGGGGGGGAAGGGGGGGGAACAGGAGACCCGTGATCCCACACAGCCAAAACGATGCAAACCGTGGGTGTGAAGCAGGGCATCTCCTCCAGAAAATCAGCATGAAAAAGGCTTTTCCGGAGCAGAGCGCTGTGCTGCTGGCTCGTCCCTGTGGATGCTCCCTGGGCTCGCCCGGTGAATCCCGCCCTGCCCAAAGCACGGCCGGTGTTTAATGTCCCCCTTTTGCATTTCTTCTGTTGGGTTCCTGGTGTGATTACCCTGGGAAACTTGCTGGCCACATGGAGTTGTTGAGGCAGAGGGTTTGGTAAACTTCCAAAGTCAAATGGCATCTGCAGTGCCAGCACCTCGGGAAGGGGGAGGACCCATCCCCAGGACTATCAATCTTCCTGCTTCAGGGAGCAGGCTGAGCACCAGCTGGGGTCAGGAATAAATGTCCCCATATCGGGAGTTTTGGACAATTAGGTGCTTTATGAGGGCTTTGCACCATCCTCGGGAGCATCCAGCGTTCGCCCCACGTTCTCGGACCACTGGGCTATTCCCGACCGATCGCAAATCCATCCCGGCTCCTGAAATGCCGGCACTCAATCCTTATTCTTACTGAACTTTATGAAATCCCCGAGAAACATTTGAAAGCCTGAAGGGGTGGGAAGCCACCGCTCAGCCTGGGCTCGCAGGGCCAGCAGTGGCCCAAGGCTCTGTGTCTCTAGGGATTTGTTTGGGTGATGCAGATCCTGGGACCTCATGCTCTGCCCCCGGTTTTGTCTGGTTTGGACCTTTTCCAGTGCCCGTGGCCCCTCTGCTTTCACCTCCTTCAAAGGGTGAACCCAGACAGGTCTTTGCAGGGACTTTTTGGGTTCAGACTCTTTCCTGAGGGTGCTGCTGGAGATGGGTGCCCTGGGTGGGATCTTGAGGGGAGAGAGGTGTGTCATTGGGTGCTCAGGGAGCCCTTGAGGCTGTTTTGTGGCTTCTGGGATGTCCCCAGAGCAAGAGGCTGTGGGCGTCTGGCAGCACCAGCCTGGTTTGCCAAGACAGGGGCTCCCAGCTTGGTGCCAGCTCTGCTCCACCACGGAGCACAGTGTTCCATCGCCATCCTCATCCGTCTGTCCTTCCCAATCCATGTGCCCTCAGAGCATCCCGGGCTCCGGAGTGTCTGAAGGGCGAGCGGGAGAGGAAGAGGGGCAGGTCTGAAGGGAGAAGGGAGAGTGGGATGGGGTGGGGAAAGGGCATACCCCTCCCCTCCCTCCCTCTCCCCCAGCCCAGGGGCTGGCTCGGGTAAATCCCTGGATTTCAATGGTGGGATTGGGCTGAAAGGCCTGAATAGGGCGCGCCCGCTTTGTGCGGGGCTTGGCGGAGGGGAGAGGTCGGCCGGGGGCGCGGGAGGGCCCGGCACCCCCCGCCGTTGCTGGGGGAACGTGGTGGGACCTCCGGCACTGCCGGGCTCCAGAGGGCCCCGCTGGCCCCTCCTGCCATGCCAGGCCCCCCTGGAATTCCCGGTGGAGGAAGGCTGGGCAGGAAACGGGGGCAGGGGGGCGATGGGGGAGTCACATCCCTGGGGTGGGAGCGGGAGGGGGGATCCTCTGGGTTGGGTGTCGGGAGCGGTGGAGGGACAGGGGAGTCCCAGGGTGCCATGGTTTGGGCTTCTCCTGAATTCCTGAAAACAATCCCAGGTTTCCAGCTCTTGTCCTGGAGCTGGAGTTTAAATCCGTGGTGCACAGAGAGCCTGGGTCTGGGGGGTCGTTGCAGCTTTGGGGTGCAGGGGTGGGAGGTGCTGGTGCAAGGATATCATGGGGAAAATCCCCGAGTCCGGCACCGCACGGGAGCTTCTTCCAACTTGCAGTCCATGGAAAAGGAGCCATCTGGAAAATCCAGCTGCTCCAGCGTTGTTTGGTGTTATTTCATTATGCAAAAAATTACATTAAAAAGTGCAGTTTATTGCAGACAGACGTCAAAGAAATGGGGGATAATAAACAAAAATAAGTCTTGCTTTTGAGAAGAAGCAAATGGGACCTTTTTGGGAGTTGAGGAAGGGTGTGGAGGGGGGAGGAGAGGCACTTTGCTGCCCTCAGAGAGATACCATTCCATAAAACATGTGATCACATCTCAAATATATTGTGTAATCCGCTATTATTAGGGTATTTAAGATAAAAACGAGGCTGGAGCACTTAAGTGAAACTCATCTCTCTATTCACTTCCCTGATTCGTATTTCATATTTTACTGAGGACAAATGCAGGAGCCTTTCTTTACTCTTTTTTCCCCTTTTTTCCTCTTTTTTTTCCGTGGAGTGGGATTTTCAGGAGCGTGTTCCTTGTGTTCTTCATTAGTGGGGATGGGTTTAACCCCACGCCTGCGAGGTCTGAGGAGGCAAGAGCAGATTAATAAAGTCCTGGAGCACTAGAGCAGGGGAGCACAGCTGGGGCTGGGACACAGACATGGAGTTGGGTGTAAAAACTCCTTTTTTTTTTTTTTTTTTTTCATTTCCCTGTGAAGAATTGTGTCATTTTTGCTAGTTTGGATCTCTTGGAGCCATTTGGTTCTGGTTAAGCGAGGCCAGGCTGGGCTGGTGGAAGTGCTCCTCAATATGGCATCATTTACTGTTAATATCCAGCTAAAAATATCCGTGTGTGTTGTTTTAATGGCTCTAATTCTGGAATGCGACGATGTCATTTTTATGAGGTTAGTGTAAAAAATCTTCCTTTTTCTTTTTTTTTTGCCATTTTTTCATCCCTTCCCAACCTCTTTCCACCCTCTGAAAGAGTCAGGGGGAAAAGGGAAGATACAAACTCTCTTACAGATCCTCTTTCCTTGCAAAACTCTTGCTTTACAGTCATTTTCAGGTGGTTCTTCACTCATTGGAGGGTAAAACCCCATGTAAAGCTTTGATCCAGGTAGAAGATCCCTCAGCTAATTTTGGGCAGCAGTTTCCATGGTGGTGACCCTGCTCCTGGCTCTGGCAGCTGGAGTGTCCAGGCACTGCTGGGTGGAATTAAAAACTCTGTCGCCATAAAGTGAAATACCTGGTAAATAAGGGAATTTAAGATATCCTGGGCAAGATTTTCCATTGTTTTGTGATTTTTTTGTTGGGTTTGTTGGGGTGGGTTTTGTGTGGTTTTTTTGCCAGGCAGGGGTGAGGGGTTAATCCAATGTTATCCAGGCTGTAGGGTGGGATCCGGGATGGGATGGGATGGGATGGGATGGGATGGGATGGGATGGGATGGGATGGCATGGGAGCTGCTGTCTCCTCAGCCTGGGCTTTTCCAGGGCTGGGATCAAGTGGGAGTTGATGTTGTTCCCTGAGGAAGAAAGGGAAGTTTGTGGTGTTTGCCATGAGGAAGGCAGCCAAAATCTGCCCCTCCTGGTGTCTGGAGGATCCTCCATCATGTGCAGGAGTGAATTTATGGACCCTCACGGGCTGGAACACAAGCCTGTGGGGGAAGAATTAAGGATTAGTTCCAGCATGGTTTATTCATTGACCCCCTCCCCATCCCAGCTAACACCTTCCAGCATCTCCATCTCTCCCTGCAATCCCTGATGTGTTCCCTGTCCCTGCACAACTGAAGGGAGTTGTGGGTCTTCCCCAGCCGGGGTCACCTTCCTCTTCCTCAGCCCTGGAATGTGCTGCTGCTGCTCTTGGGGAGGGCAAAGCCAAACCCCACCAGCTCTGGATGTGCCTGAGACATTACAAACTTTTTATGGGATAATTTGCTGATCAAAGGGAGCCATCCAGGGGCTGACACAACCCATTCGTTCCCAATTACGAGGAGCGTGCTAATGACTCCTGGATGACACCGTGCAGCAGGAGATGGGCTTTTTTTAAGAAACCAGTTTTTCTCTGGCTCCCAGAGCCAGGAGGTGGAAGCCCATCCACTCCTATGGGGGGACTCCCCCTTCTGCTTTCCCATTTCCTCAGTCCCAAGGAGAGCCTGTGATGATGGTTTCCCTGCTCATCCCAACAGAAAGGCTTTATCTCCCAGCATCTGGGCTGCTCCTCCTGCCCTGTGAGGGCAACAAGTGCAAATAACCAGGGGCTCTGCATCCCAAAATTCCATCCTTGGTGCTCCACGTGCTTTGTGCAGCCGTGCAACAGGTTTTTATCCCTCGTTTGCAGGCTGAGCTCAGCTTAGGCTGGAGTGGGAATCGCTGCCGGGCGGTGAGGAGGGAGGGAGGGGGCAGCTCTGGGGCACTGGTGGAGAGGCCCCTGTGTGCAATTGTAAGGCCATGTCATTTTTTTTCCTGTAAATCTTGTAATTTCGTGCTTCAGAGCACAACAAAGTGAGAGAGCCAGCGGGGAGTGAATTAAATTCCCCCCTGAGAGGCGGCGCGGTGGGGCCGAGCCGGGCGGGCGATGGGGGCTCGGTGGCACCAGCCACTGTTTGGGCTTAGAAATAGAAATTCTGGGAGAAGTCCTGTGTGGCACTTTGTGCTGGAATTATGTGCCTTCTGGTTTTCCCCTCTTTGCTGTTTTTTCTGTCCCTGTTGCACTGATTTTTGCTGGTCTGGGGCAGGGACCTGCCTCTCCGGGTCACCTCTGTGAGATGGCCCTTACAAACACCACAGGAATTCCGTGTGGTGTGCATGGAGAAACCAAATCCATGCAATCCTCTGTTAAAGGACACGTGGAAAAGCAGACAAGCTCAGGCAGTTGTGCAGGGACACGGGGTGCAGCCACAGTCCAGCACCCATCCTGGTGGGAGCCTCGGACCTGCCGCTGAGCAGCCGCCGATTGAATTCCTCCACCCTTGGCTTTTAACTGGAATTACTGTTTTCATTTCAAAAAGTAATTAAAATATCAGACCTCGAGCTGTCATAACTGTCAGATGGTTTTTGTGTTCGCATTACCGATGCACATCTATCCTGTTAATAACAGGGCAATAACACGCCCGTGGAGAAACGCGCCTCGCGCTGGGGATCTGCACCACCGGCTCGTTCCATCGGTGGTTCCCAGCAGTGAATTGCCATGTTTGTCCTCAAGGATTCTAGTTTTTAATTGTTTGGATAGAGTGAGTTTGGATAAACCAGGTTAGTGGTTGTGTAGCTCTGAGTATCCCCAGGGATGCCCAGTGGCCATGGGGCAGCTCTGGATGTTCCTGCACTGGGCACTCCAAGCTGGGGCCAATCCTGGGATGCAGCCCTGGTAATTCATCAGAGGAATACAAAATCAGGATCCATCTGCTTCTGGAACTCCTTGGTTTTTTACTTTCTTGGGGCTGTTTGGTTCATATGATGGTGGCAAACCCTCCTGGAAGGCGGGCAGGGATTTATGGGGGATGACAGGCAGGGACCCGCTGGGCTCTGCCCCCACGCTGGCCCTAACGCAGCCCTGTCCTGCAGGCAGGGCTACAATACCCTGCTTGTTCAGAAACGTGCCCCAAAAAACCCCAGAAGGAAGGAAAAGAATTCTTTAAAAGCAGAAATAAGGAGCGAAGGAGGAAGCGGGTCTGAGAGCAGTGGGTTGTTTTCCTTAGAGCTTTATTCCTTCTCCTGGCTCCCAGCTCCTCAGTGAAGCTCCTTCTCTCAGCTCACACTTGCTCCTCTCTCCTCCTCGTCTCTTCACAGGATTTTCCTTCATTTCCCCTGCTTTCTCCAGCTGTCCACAGTGCTGTGCCTGGCTCAGTTGTGCCTGGGTGTGTTTCACAAGTGTATTTTATCCACTTATGTTGGTTTCTCCCTCTTTTGCCTGTTGTGTGATTCCCAGTGAAATGCCTTCATCCCTGTAAACAGCTTAAGGAAACCCATCACTTTTTCTAGGCAAACACCCCTAGAAATAAGCAGGTTTAGTGGGAGTTGCTTGTGGGAGTTGCTGAACACCTCCTGCATCACCATCAACTCCGTGCAGACACATTCATGGATTGATTCAGGGTGTGATCCTGCACTTGGCCTCACCCAAGTCTGGGTGGTGACTGGAACTTTCTGGTGCTCCAGTGTAACAATCAGATGTAAAATTAAATATACACAGTGCTTTAGACACGAGGGACAGCGGCAGCAGCAGAACTGTGGTGATGGCTCCGTGCAAGGGTGGAATGAACCAGCCAGGAGCTTTGGTCAGGTACTGGTTGTGTCTGGCCAGGGGACACCTGTGCCAGGGCTGGAGTTTGGGAATGACCCCTGGGACAATCTGCCAGTGGCACAGAGCTGCTGGACCCAGTGACTGCTGAAGATGGAGGAGGGGTGGTTCTGGAAGAGGATGGAATTGCTCCCAGCTGCCCCTGGCCTTCCATGGCTCTGGGGGGTAGGAGCAGGTGGTCTGTAATGGCATGTACTGGTCAAACTGCTGTGGCAGGGAATGCTGCCCTCCTCATGCATCCCTCACAACCCATGGAGAACCAGAGCTGGAGGAGGAGGAGGAGGAGGAGGGCAGCCTTCCCCTGCCCACGGTGCTGTGTCTCTTTTGCAGGCTCTCCAGGTGGCACGGCAGTTCCTGCTGCAGCAGGCCACGGGGCTGAGCTCCCCCAGCAGCAACGAGGGCAAGCAGCCAGCGGTGCAGGTGAGCCCCCAGCTCGTGTCCCCCATCACCCCCTGGTCGGGAAGGGCTCGGCTGCAGGCGTGGGACAGGCCACGGGTCACCTCCATGGTTGGGATGGCTGGAGATAAATCCTCTGGGAAGTTCCTGACATTTCTTGGGAGTATTTTTTGGGGGAGGTGTGGTCCCCGTTTTGTGCTGATGTGGTGGGAAAGGGCGATGCCAGGGAAGGGTTGGCTCCAGAGGAGAAAGGACTGGTGGGGGGAAGGTGACCATGTGCCTGTGGGACACATTTCAGATAGACTCAGAGTTTCCCAGGGTTAGAGCACCTCAGGATCAGTGCTGGGTGCTGTGAGTGTGGCACAGGGGCTGGATAAGGAGCAATCCTTTGGGCTGGAGCCAGGGCAAGTCCTCCCACGTGGGACAGTTTGTGGGACAGGCCCAGTTGAGGTGGGATTTGCAGCACTGGCAGGAAAGCAGAGTGTTGGGTGGGCACAGCATCCTGCTCCCCTAGGGATGGGGGGACCACCCCCTTGCTCCACTGCTCTGCCAAAGGAAAGGGACTGAAAATGGGAAGAAAAGGAGCAGAAGAGGGGTGAAATCTGGAGAGAGGGGGAGGCTGGAAGAAGCAAAGCCCAAGCGATGGAAAGTGACAATTTAAATAGCTGTGTGGAGGGGCTCTCCCTTCAGGCTAATTAAATTTATCGGAGAACAGCAGGTTACCTTATTAGAGCCACGTGGGTTTAATTAACAAAGGAAAGTAATTAGCACAAGCGCTCTCGGAGCTGGAGGTCCTGCCTGTGCCAGGCTGGGCTGTGTGGCAGCGGGAGGGCAACGGGAGCTGGGCTGGGATGGGCGATCCCAGGCTCCAGTCCTGGTTTGCACAGCCAGGCCATGGCTGAGCCAGCCAGCAGCAGGTCCTGGGGCTCCCAGGGGTCAGGGGAGCTCGGGACCCTCAGCTGCCCCTCCGGGTTGGGAAGCAGCAGCTGGGTACGAGCAGTGGGAATCAGTCAGGGCTGCTGCGGCACAAACAGACGGCTTTTTCCAGTGGTGCTCGCAGGAAGGAAATGCAGTCACTGCATGGAAAATGTCTGCAGAGGACAAAGGCAGCGAGGGTGAAGTCAGATTCCGGTAACCGGCGCCTCGCTCCCCTCCGTGGGTGTGTGTCCCTGCACTCCTTCTCCCGCCTGTCCCTCGGTGCTCTCCCCACCGTATTCCCGGCTGGATACACGCGCTGCCGCTCCAACATCCCATCCTCCCCTTCCCTGCTGCTCTCCGGCCTCCCCTCCCTGCCCATCTGGCCAGCGGCTTTGCCGGAGCGAACTGGATCTCCTTCCTCTCCCCTCCTCCCTTTCTGTGTTGCAAAAGGACTTGTGAAAGTTGTAGACGTGAGTCAGAAATAGCTCATAACTCAGCAGCGAGCGGCTCTTCCTCCCCCCGCGGCCCCGCCGGCAGCTGGAGCGGGATCTGACCGAGGGGAGATAGAGGATTAAGCAGACTCCTTTGAAAGGAAGTTTATCTAACGGCAGAGTGGTGTGGATGAGACTGGCCAGGACGGCGGGAGGAGGAGGAGGAGGAGGAAGGCTGGTCCCAGCGCAGCAGCTCCTGGCTGGGGAGGGAGCAGGATGGGAGAGTCATGGAGGTGTTTGGGAACTGGGGTGTCCTTGGGGTGCCAGCCCGGGGTCCCGCAGGCTTTGCTTGTGGATGTGCAGCCCCCCGAGGCTGGGCAATGGATTTTCACATCGGTTGGGTATTTTGGGGAGGGGGCAGAAGTTGTGTCCGTGGCCTCCCTCCCCTCAGCCCCATGCCAGCCAGCTCCTGGCCCCCAGTCCCAGGGGGAGGGAACAGGAGGGTCCTGGTGCTGGCAGGGAGAGCAGGAGCCCCCACAGCCAGGAGCACCACGGACCCCCCGTGCTTGGCCACACTGTGCACTCTCCCTGTCACCCCCTGATGGGGACGGGACATTTTCGGGGCACCAAGCCAGCGGGAATATTAATGACATTCCCGACGGCGTGCGCTTCAAAACAACCAGGGAGCTGCTGGGCTCCGTAGCATCCTGGGGTAGGGTTTTTTTGGAGTATGGACCCCCTCTCTCCCCAGATGCCTGGAGGTGTGTGTGGAGAGCCTCACGCTGACACTCGAGTTACAGCTGCAGCTAAAAAAAAAGGCAACCCCCCCCCCCTTTGGGTGTTTTAAACCATTTAAAAATGGGTTTATTTCTCTGCAACTTTAAAACTCTTGGAAACTTGGCGGGTGCTGACAAAGTGTTGCGTTTGGGGACTTTTGGTGCTGATGGGCTGCAGGGTGTTCCCATCCTGCATGGGGCTGGTGGAAGCAACATATCCCCCTGGGATCCTGCTGGGATATGGGGTCTGGGAAATGGAATGAGGTGCTGGAAAGGCAGCACCCGTTCTCAGTGCAGGCTTGGAGACCCCTTGGAATCGCGGGGTGCCCTCTTTGGGGTCCCTCCCCAGCTCAGCCCTCGGAGCTGGGGGTCTCCCCTGGCTGAAAGGGGAGAGGGGCTGAAGGGCGCCAGGGGAAGGGAGAGGAGTTTGGAGCAAACTGCGGGAAATTGCTTTTCTTTTGTCTGCTGCGCGGGGAGGGCAGCGGAGCGGAAAAGTGTATTTTGTTGATTTGAAACTTGAGTGAAATGGGTAATGAAGACAGATCAATACCAGCCCTTCTGCGTTCCCTCTCCAGGAACAAATCCAGCAGCCTGTCCGTCTGGGCTCGCATGGTGTTAGATTTTTCCATCTGAACTTGCAGCATCACTGTCTGTCCCTGCTCCCATCCCTCCTTCCTGGAGCCCCCGGCTCTGCCAGCCCCGAGCCACCACCACCACCCTGCTCTGGGACTGGCATTTTGGATTAACAGGGGAGCAAAGTCACTTCAGTCCCTGTAGCTCATCAGTGTGATGAGCTGTGCCAGCACCCCGTGCCTGTGGTGTCCCCCCCAGGGTGATGCTGGGGGCAGGGGCTCACCAAGGAGGGGGCTGTGGGCACTCCAGCACGGTCACCTCTGCTGCCAGTGTCCCCAGCCAGCTCCTTCCAGCTTCCTGGAGCCCAGCCACGTGCCATTAGTGCCTCCCTGGTGGGAACACCGTGCTAACGAGGATGCACTAATGAGGATGCACGTTGGGCTGATTGATTCCTCCTTTTCTTTACATGGAGCTGAACACCAGAGCCTGGTGTCCTCTACACTGTGCCCCCCCTTGCCCTCCTGTTGCCACCCCTATCCAGGGCAATCAGTCCTTTGGTGGCTGTTCAGAGGGTTCATAAAACAGTTCACAGCCTCAAACCCACATGTGGCTGAGCTCAGTTTCTCCTCTAACCCCGGGTAGATTTTAGTCTGTCATCTCTGTCCCATCCTGGGGAGGTTCAGGCACAGTGTGCTGTGAGTGGAGGGATGGCAGAGCGATGTTTGGGTGGCCCTGTGCCACCCTCAGGGTTTATAAACCATGGCTGGGGTCACATTGGTGTCAGTGGCATCGGTGCCTGGCCCCGGGCGCTCGGGGCTCTCGCAGACGGTCTGAGCCAGCTGGATGTTGGAGCTCTCCCAGGGATGAGAGTGCAGGAAAGGACGCCTGGATGTGCCTGGGGGTTTTGGTTTGCACTTCTCCTGTGAAAAGTGGCTTCTCTGGGGTGGGGATTTGCTTGTCCCCTGCCCCTAAAACAGCAGAACTCGAAGCTGCTCCTGGTGTTTGTTCCCCCCCTTCTATTCCCAACCCCCTCCGTTTGTTTCTCTTGGGCTCAGATTTGAAAAGGGTGTTTAAAATTAAGGGAAAAGGAGCACAAACTTGTTTTCTGTTGTTTCTAATGGGGAGTTAAACCGCAAGATTAGATCAGAGCAAAGATGTGCAGCCTTGGGCTCTGCAGGGAGCCCAGAGCATCCCAGGCAGCTGCTGTGCATGGGGAGAGGTGTGTTCATCCTGGTGGTCCCAGAGCCCCTCTCGGGTCAGCAGGGCTGGGGGGATGAGGTGTGTGGCTGCCCTGGCGAGGGAGCAGGGCTGTGTGGGTTTGGGTGTGGTTTAGGTGTGGGCCAGGAGATGCTCCTTCCCGTAGCACGGGTGACGTGCTGCCCCCGGCTCCCCGGGGACATCGTGGCTCCTGCGGTGACCTCCCGGCGTGGGTGACAGCACAGCTGGGAGGTGGCGGTCGGAGCAGGGATGCTTTGAGGCTGAGCAAGCCCCGGGCTGATGGAGGATGTCCCCAGGCCGTGCCAAGCCAGCTGTCCCTGGGGTCAGGAGGGCACCGTCCCTCTGGCAGCCCCGCCGTGCGGAGAGCCAAGAGCAGCCGTCGGGCCGTGGCTTTCCCCGCTCTGCCTCGTGCCTGGGAGTTCAATCTGCTTCCCATAAAACAAAAAAAAATCCGAGAAAAATCTCTCTGAAGAGCCTCGCTCCCCATCCTGCCGCGTTCCACCCGACCAAATCCTGGTTCCCTCAGCCGGCTTTGGCAGCGCTGCTCCGGGCTCCCGCCGAGCTTCCCTGGAATACCTGCCTCGCTTTCCACCCACTGCCTGCTGATCCGTGCCCGCCCGTCCTCTGGCACGCAGGGATTACAACCGGGACCGCCTGGAAAATCGCCCCCGGAGATGCCGCTGGCCGGAGCAGCGCCGGGTGTTTCTGGGAGCAGCCGGAGCTGTTAGTAAGCAGTTCTGCGGAGTGGCAGCCGGCCAAGGCGTGAGTCAAACCCTTCCTGACTCGGTGTCTGGCAGATGCCAGCTCGTGACGCGTCGGCCGGGGACCAGCCGCTGCTGGGACCTGCTTCCCGGGGGCTGTGCCGGCTGTGAGGACATTCCCCGGCTGCTCCGGTGCCCGGGGGTGGAGGGGGGGTTGTGGAGGAGGCAGCTGGGTGACACTCACCCCTTGTACCACCCCTGCTGCTCTGCTGGTGCCCTTTGGCTCTCTCTTGCCTTGTTGACCACTCTGTCTGCCTGGGTCCCAGCTTTGGAGGTGCTTGTTGCACAGAGCCCCCCGTTATCTAGGCTGGCCTCGATTCCCGCTGTGGGGAATCTTGGGATGTGCCATGGCTGCAGGTGAAGGAGTGTCCCGGGGCCACGCTGTGCCCTCAGCCTCCCCACTGGCAGATCAGCTGCCTGTGGGTGCCCCTGTGTTTGGTGTGGGGTGTTTGGCCAGGTTGGGATGGACATTCCCATCCCCCTCTTGTTTTGCCAGGGCAGCAGCTGTCACTGTCCCCAGCAGAGGCAGCTGGGACTGTCACCAGAGCCCAGGGCAGAGAAACCCAACACGGGGCTTTGCTGCCCCACATCAGGGTCGAGCCAGACGTGGTGGCAGTGCCAGAACCTTCCCAGCACCAGAGTCTGGGATGAGTGGCTGCAGTGGGAGCAAAACTGGCTGTAAGTGGGAATTTCTCCTTCTACTAAAGAAAGTTCCTGCTCTCCCTGGAAACCTTCACTGGGTTTTTTCACTGGATGTTTTCCATGCTGTGGGGAAATTCTTCTTGTGGCTTTGGCATCCTCTGGGGCTCGGGGAAGCAGCAGAGCCCGGATGACCCTCACAGACACCGGCACCGGTTCACCCCATTCCCACCTCACCCCCGCGCGAAGCCGCCACCATTTCCCCGTGTCAGCTCCGCATCCGAGCACGGAAGAAAAAGCCATTTAATGCAGACAAAGGTTGTATGAAAATATAATTCTGCTTTTGTTAGCAGCCATCAAACTCTAAAAAGCGTCACTTTTGTTTTCTTGTAACATTGTGAAAACCTCGTGTCGGATCGAGAGCTGGGGCCCTCTCGACTAATCGCCTCTCCTTTGTGTTTTTAGATTATAGGGGCAATTAGTGTTGTCAAAACCTCTGGCAATTCTCTTTGCTCTTGACAGGGTGTCAGTCCGCTGGGCGAGAAATGGAAGGTGTTATAACTCTCCGGTAATTAGGATGCCTCCGATTTGAAAATGCCAGCAAACGTGTTGGAGGGGCCATGCAGTGGGGGCGGGGAGGCCGCCCGGATGGGGGATGCGGATGAGCAATTAATTAGGGGCTCTCATTCCGAGCACGTTGCCAGCTGATGAATTGGCAAAGGGAAATTAGCAGGATGCTTAGCTCGCGGGAGCGGGCGCACACCCCGCTCGTCTCGCCGTCCTCACCAGCTCCCCTCCTTCCCAGATGTGCCGGGGGCTTTGCACAGCTGGCTGGGAGCACCTGAGCACCCAAACAGCAGCTCTTGGCTGCTGCTGGTGCTGGGAGGGGCTTGGGGCTCTCTGGTGGGTGCTGGAGCCCTCCCAGGGTGCTGTGGCTCATTCCTGAGGATGCTCCCTGCACGGCCGGAGCGGGGGAAGCAGCCCCAGCCCTTGGGTGGGAACTCACAGCAATTAATCAATAACTGCGACACGAAGGAGGGGGGATCACAAATGGAGCTCGCCCCGTGTCCCACACCTCCCTCCCTCCAGCAGAATGCCTGAGTAAATAGATAAGCCTTGGCAGTCTCCCTTGAAGGTCAGAGCGCTCCAGCCGGGCTGGACACCCACCACGGGGGGAGGGACTGCACGGGGCCACCCTCTGGTCCCATCCCCACCAGGATGGCTGGAGGGGGAGGCAGCAGCCATCTGCTTTCCAGGGAAAAGGGGGGCACCCAGGAAGGGTTATTAAATTACAGCGAAGCCCTGGGAAAGGCTTTGGGCTGGTGGGATCAGCGGAGGGCTGGGACAAGGCAGCTCTTGATGGCTGTGGTTGGGAAGGCAGCGTTGCTCCACCTGGGCAGGACCCGGCAGGGCTGGAATCCATCACTGACACCTTCTCCAGAGCGTTGCCGGGGGTGTGGACCCGTGTTTTGATAACCAAAGGCAGGGGCTGGCAGGTTCTCTCGGCCCTCCCTCCTCTTGGCACGGTAATTACGTGGGTTACTGGTGTCAACTGGAGGTAAAGCTTTGATGTGTCTGTGGAGAACCTGGTAACCTCTTCCTCCGTGCTCTGCTTTGCTAAGTTATTTGGGTGATCAGTATCTTCCCACTTCCCTCGTGTTTCCCTCTGCCCTGCATACTCCGGGAGCTCAAGGGAAGCAGCAGTGCCCGGCACCCTTCCCGTGTCACAGGAGGGGAGGAAGCTGTGGTTTGATGCCCAATTCCCCCAGCTCAACTGCATTTAGAGGAGAGCACCCTGCCCTCAGGATGTGGTTTAGGAAGCTTCACCCCAGTGCCACCACGGGGCACCTCCCTGCTGTCACCATGTCCCAGCAGTGGCCTTGGCGTGCCAGGAGGGACCAGGGGCCAAGGGCTTCACATGAAGGTGACACAGGGATGGGGGGGCATGAAGGGTGTTCCAGGAGAGGTGGGGGGCACTTGCAGGCTGTTGGCATTCGGGGAGGGTTTCCCAGGGCTGGAATGGGGAGTGGTGACGTGTCCTTGCTGCCGCAGGTGCCCGTGTCCGTGGCCATGATGTCCCCGCAGATGATCACGCCGCAGCAGATGCAGCAGATCCTCTCTCCGCCCCAGCTCCAGGCCCTCCTGCAGCAGCAGCAGGCGATAATGCTGCAACAGGTAACGCTTGATCCAGCCCAGCAGTTCCCACTGGGGTCCCAGAATGCTGGAGCTCGCTGTGGGCAGGCAGATGGGTCCCTTCCTCCCTGGGTTCTTGCGTTCTCCACATATTTCCTTGGGGATTCCCAGCAGGTCCAGGGACAAAAACAGCTGTGGGTGCTGACAGTGCTGGCAAAGCTGGATGCTGCTGCCCAAGGCCCAGAAAATTCCTGCACGAGGTCTGGTTTGGGGCTGCCCAGCTCCTGGGAAGAGCCGTGGTTGGGGTGGGAGCTCTTGGCTCGAGGCACCCCAAGCAGAGCCCCCGTGGCTGCTGCTGGGCCTTGGGCATGTGGCTGTGTCCAGCTCCAGACCTGAGCACGTGGGTTTGTTTCTCATGGCCTGCTCAGCTTTTCCGGAGTGTTCAGTTGGACGGGGAGGGAAGAAAAAGGAGGAGAAGAAAAATAACAAACCTCAACTCCGAAACAAAACAGGTCTGCTTGGGTAAACACCTCCTGCCGGCAGGAGGGAGAGAGGGAGAAACCCCACAAGCATCCTCCACGCCCTTCCTCCTGCCTCCAGTACCTGTTTACTCCAAACAGGCTGATAAGGATTCAAGGTTGGCCCCAGGGAAAGAACAAAGGGTAAACACTACCCTGGGTGGGTCCTTCCACAAGCCTCTTTGGAGCCGGATAAAGAAACACGTTTGACTGCAAATTAAACAACCCAGGCCGGAATAGCTCGCATTCTCCACCGGCAGAAAACCAAACATCACACCTCTCACCCCTGACCCAATGTTCCTGCGCCTGCTCGGCCCCGCTGCAGCCCTGGCTCCGGCTGGCTCTGGGGTAAACACCCAGCCCCTCCAAACCTGTTCTCCGGCAGAAACAGCGAAGTTGCTGCTGTCAGCGCTGTCGGCCCCGAGCTGATAAAGGATTCCCGGCATCCACAGGGGCATTCCTGAGCCCCTGCACAGGGTAGGGGCGGCTGGGAGGGGGCTGTGGGGTCTCGCTGACCTCCCCGTGCTCTGCCCCCCCTGCACACGCCAAATCCATCACCCACAGTTTATTTAGGGGCCGGGGGGAGCTGGAGCCGATGCTTGCAGCCGCTGCCTGCGGACACTGGGACCCTCTCTGGTGGTTCATTGTGGGGCAGGGGGGTTTGTCCCTGTTTTCCAGGACCAGCAAACCTCTCTGCTTTGGCCAGGGGGCTGCGAGGGGCTGGGCTGCCCCTGGAGGGGGTGCAGGGCTGAGCCCCCAGCACTCATAGGATTGCACCAGCCAGACCAGGGGCTGTGGCTGCTCCTGGCCCCTTCCCAGCTGGGAGTCCCCTCTCACAGCGCTTGCCAGGGGTGTTTTGGGGTCCCACCATGCTGAAAATGGGGTTTCCCCACTGCTGAAACACCTTTACGTGCCAGAGCACCCAGGCCTGCTTCTCAGGGGCATTAAAACAAGCAGCGGGTTTGGCACTGGTGGTGTTGGGAGATTTCACTTGCTGTGGGGATCTGGAACCTTTGGGAATGTGTGCCCAGGGTTCTTCTGCTGCCCTGACTCCTCTGGCGGGTCCCTTCCCTCCCACCCTGCAGCCAGGAGCCTGCCCTGATGACGCAGTGCCAGGAGCTGACGTGGCTGTGGCAAAGCCTGGTACTGGGCTTGGGGTGTTTCTGCTGCTAATCCGGTTGCTCTCTCCCCTCCCAGCTGCAGGAATACTACAAGAAGCAACAGGAGCAGCTTCACCTGCAGCTATTGACACAGCAGCAAGCTGGAAAGCAGCAACCCAAAGAGGTGAGCTCACGTGGAGGGCGCTGGGCCATCAGATCTGGCGGCAAATTAAAGGAGGACCAGAGCACAACAAGGTGTGCAGGAACCCCAGCAGGGATGGGACACGGGGGCATCCTGCTCTGGGGGGTGTTGGATGGCCAGTCCAGTTGCTGGGAGTTGTTGTTCTTCCTCATCCTTCTCCTCCCTGTCTGTGATCTGGCACGTGCACCGAGCATGTGGAGTGTGTGGGGGCAGTGAGGTCGGGGGTGTGGGGCCGCTGGACCCTCCCCAGGGGCAGGGGCAGGGGCAGGTCACTGCCCCCAGCACAGAGCAAGGCTCCCCAATTCCCCCTGGAGTGGAGGCAGAGGAGGCTCAGCTCAGCCCCTGCCTGGCACAGCTCCAGTTGGGCAGCCCAGTCTTGGCTGAGCTGGCACAGCAGCAAGTAGGCAGGGCTGGTCAGGTGGGAACCCAAAGCAGGGCTGCTTCTGCCAGGAAGGGCAGTTTTCCAAAACCCAAGCACTGTGTGGAGGAGCAGTGATGCCAGCAAAGGGCTTTTCCAGCAGGAGACACTCAGCCAGGGGATGCTCTCAGCCCCTGCTGGCACCACGTTGGCAGCAGTGGGCCCTGTGCTGGGGAGGTGGGTGCCTGGTAGAGAAGCATTTCGTGCCCATGTGATTCCATCAGTGTTGTATAACTAACTCCCTTTTTGCAACAGTTTTTGCTGTCCTTTCTCACAGTGATGCCTTACCTGATGTTGTGGCTGTATTTTGGGGATGTGCCAGTCACACAGAGGCTGGGGACCAACCCCAGCCGGCAGATAGCACCACTCCCTTCCTTCTCCTTGCACATTTTTGCCTCTCTCTCTTGCCAGATTGCTGCACAGGGTACGGGGTGGGGTGTTTTGTGCAGTGCACGTGCTGATTCATGTCTGGCATTGCTGCCCTTCTATCCAGTGTCCTTCCCAGGGTCCCAGCACGGAGGGACATGGAGCTGGGCCACTCACTCCATGTCCTTGTCCAAGCAGGGGATTGGGGTGCTGGGGCTGTTTGTGGCAATCACCCCTCCAGAAATCCAGCACCCTGATAAATACTCATCCCTTTTCAGGGCTGAAATTTGGCCTTTTTTCGGGGGAGGAAAGATTTTAAGCCCAGACTGTGCATTGGTGTGGCAGAGAGGGGACTTGATGGCAAAAACCCTGAGCCACTCCAGGGTGGCTGGAGTGGCTCAGGGTTGGCACGTGCTCCAGTCTCTGCAGACTGGCCTGGGCTTTCACTGCGGGATGCTGGCGTGTTTACGGGGTCAGGTTTATCAGAGCCATCTGCAGGAGCTGGAGTGGCTGCTGGTGCTCCAGGAACGGGGAGGCATAAATCTGAGCTTCCTCAAGGACTCTCCTCTTGGCCGTGGCGATGTTCTGTTGCAGCACCGAGCGGGGATATAATTAAGCTCTAACAAAGCACTTGCTTAGCGGGCTCCGGTTTAAAAAGCGCGTGTTAACTTTTAATTAAATGGTACAGAGGAAATGGGAAATATATCCACTGAGAAAGAGAGGCTGGCGGGGGGGAAGGGGCAGCAAATGCTGCTGTGGGGGTGTGCACTGAGCTCCCGGCAGCATCACGGCTGGGAAAAGCACCCAGGGGGTCCCAGCAAGTGGATGTCGGCGTTTCCCCCCCCCCCCAGACCCCCCAGATGGGCTTTGTGGGGTTGGGTTCAGCCCAGGAATGCGGGCAGCTGCAGTTCATGAAGCCTGTGCTCTGCTTTGCCTGCCGTGGCTGCCCCATGGCACAGGGAATAGCTGGCATGTCTGGGATGCCGCTGGAGAGCTGCTCTTGGCTCCTTCCCGGAAACCCACGGCCGTGTTTCATTACAGCCCCGCTGCAAGGTTTGTAAACCCTGCACCCACCTTCTGCCTCCCCAAACCCTGCGCCTTCTGCCTCCCCAAACCCTGTGCCTTCTGCCTCCCCAAACCCTGTGCCTTCTGCCTCCCCAAACCCTGTGCCTTCTGCCTCCCCTCTGCCCGACTCCCAGGGCTCCTCTCAGGGTAGCTGTGAGTCGGTGGCTTGGCTGCAGGAGCAGCAGCCGGAGCGGCACAGGGAAGGTGCCAAGAGCAGGGAGCAGTATCTCCTGGAGCAGCAGCTCAGATCTCCTCAGGAGAGGCTCAGCTGGGGGTCCCCCAGCGGGGAAGGGGAGAACAGGAAAAGAGGATGGAAACGTGTCGGAAGCGCCTGTGGGCATCATCCTGTCCCAGAGGATGGGGGGGTGCTGTGTGTCCCTGGACTGTGGGGAGCTGTGGTGCAGTGGGGGCGTGAGGAAGGGGCCAAGCAAGACAGCTGATCCATGAATCCCAGTGGTATGGGGCTGAGCTACAGCACATCCCAGTCCTCCTGGAACATTTTCCTGTGCTAGGGTGTGATGGTGAACCCCCATCCCCAGCAGCATCCCGGGTATGGGGGAACAAGGAGCTGTGGCGCCAGGCTGGGACGCTCCAGGCAGCCCCTCGCCCTCATCTCCTGCTCTTCCCTGAACTTGGCTTCTCCAAGCCCAGTGCTGCAAGGGACATCTGGCTGCTGAGGCCCCGGTATCCCTGAGGGCGAGGCCAGAGGGTCTCTGTGTGCCCCCAAAGCTGCTGGGGGTGGGGGTTTGTTCCTCTGCTGAGGCAGACGGGGTTGGGGAGGGGGTGGCGCGGGGGGGGCTGCTGGCGCCTCACCCCAGTGTCAGCTTAATGAACTGCTCCTGTCAGTCCCGCGTGTCACGGCGAAACTCCTCCTGATGTGCTCATAAATCAAAGTGACGGCGGCTCCTACCCCGCTAGCTGCACCCGCTCAGCTGCGTCTAATGCAGGGAGAGCCCCGGCCCTGCGCTGGGACGGGAGCTGGGAACGGGCTGGGGGGGCCAAGAGCAGGATTCGGCCCTAACCCAGAGCCAGCTCCTCTGGTGGGTGCTGGGGGTCCCCTCTGGGGGAATTCAGGTGACTTTTCTTAGGGCAGCAGAGCTCATGGGGTGGCACGTGAGGTTTTCCATGAGGATGGGGTTGTAATCCATGCTCTCCCCGCCCTGCCTTCTCCAGGGAGAACTTGGCTTGGAGCCTGCGGGCTGGTGGGTGGGTCTGCAGGGGGATGCACCTCCTCAGCCGTCACTCAGAGGTTTAGAGGTCTGTGGGGCCGCAGTTGTTCCCCAGTGATGATGAATTGGCTTCCCTGGGGGGAAGTGGTCCTTGGGTTGACTCAGAGCAGCACCAGGACTCGTATTCCTGGGGCTGGTCCCTGTGTTTGTGGCCTGGTGAAGCTGGAGGGATGCACATGTGGATTTGAAGCATGTGAAGGTCCAGGTTCAACCTGAACAACACCGTCCCTTGCCAGAACCACGTGTGGGTCAGGGCTGCCCGGGGGGCTCGGGGATCCCACTCCACCGGCCACAGCTGGGAGAGCCCAGCTTTGGGGCTCAGGGACGTGCCCAGGGATCCTCATGACTTCATCCCTTCATCCACTCCCAGTTCCTCCTGCTTTGCTGTCTGGAAGTGACGTGACTGAGGCTGTGCTGGAGCAGAGCTCGGGCTTGCCCCGGGGCCCCCGGGGAGGGCGTCGGCAGAGCCGGGAAGGGGAGGAGAATCCATCCTGTCCCATCCCATCCCATCCCAGCTGCTGTTTCTAACCAGGGCAGGGCACGCGTGTCCATCCCACGTGGTGGCAGAGCTTTCCCTCGCCGGGAGGGGACACTGTGGGGGACTGAGCTGCCTCTGTTGAAGCCCTCTGGCTGCAGCCTAGTCCTGCCTGTTTTCCTGTATCCTGCTGATCCCAAGGCCTGAAGTCCTCCTGGCTCAGGAGCGAGGGTGGGCACAGGGATTTCTCTTCGCTGAGCAGAAATCACTTTGATTTGTGCCTTAATCTTTAAGCCTCAGAGGTGCAGGGCTGAGGCAGAGCCAGGGATGATCTAGACCTGATGCTGGGGGGGCAATTCCACCGTGGCCCAGAGATAGACAGGACAGGGAGAGTCTGCATATCCCTCTGAGGCTGAGAAACTGGAATTACACTGTCTGTGCCCTAAACAGGACTCGTGGTTGTGCCTGACTTTGCAGAGTGGAGGGGGTTTGTAGGGCAGTGTCTGGATCGCGTCCTCTCCCTCCTGTTCACAAAGCTATGGCTGAGCATCCACAGGAATCCCACCTGCATCCCGTGGGCCCATGGAACGTGCTGGTTCCAAACTCAATCATGGGCTGGGATTGCCGTGGAGAGTCTGTCTGCTGTTACTGCTGGTGTAGCCTCGGGGATCATCAGGAGATGTGCCAGGTCCCTGAGATTCCCAGTGCATCGGGGCCTGAATCCCTACAACACTGAGGACAAACAAGGACATTTCCCATTTGCACAGCTCTTGTGCTCATCAGCGAGGACAAAGACACGAAAATCCTTCTTTGGGGGGCTGCGAAGTGCCCCCACTCCCGAGTGCAGTGAGATGGGGGATGTGCTGCAGCGTGGGCTTGGCCGGTGCTCTCTGGCTCCTCAATCCCTGCCAGCACCTTCTGCCCAAACAGGGGGGCTCGGGGGGTTCACAGGGTCACGGGGCCGCCTGCCCCGCTAATGAGGCCGGGCAGCCCCAGGGCAGCTCCCCTCTCCTGCCCGGCTCGGATTAGCAGCTGCCTGTCCCCAGCCCTAATTGAATTCTCTCCCCTTCACTTAATTCTCATGGATTTCTCGGCGCCTCCCCAGGGACCTGTCCTGCCTAACTAGTTTAGGGCCAGCGATGCTGGTCAGAGCACGGCTGGCTCCTGGGGACGGGGGGAGAGTCCCCTACCTGGGGGGTGCCCGTGGCTGGGGCGTGGGCACCAGTACTGGCACTGAGCACCCCCTCCCCTGCAGGCAGTTGGTTCAGCTCCTCACCAGGAAGGGGCTCATAGTGGTCGTTTTTGACAAATAGGGATCATTTTGTGGATTAAAGGGGGGTCCTGTGCAGCCAGGGTGCCGGGAGTCCCCTTTTTTAACAACGATGTTGCAGCTGAGCCTCCCCCGTGGGACCCCACAGCCGGGGTTCACACCCACCTCCCAGCACAGCTGGTTCTTTGCTCCGAGCAACTCCCAGCTCCGCTCACTCCCTCTCTTTCCAGAGCTTTATTTTTCCCTTCCCCTTTTCCTTTCCTTCCCCTCCTCTTCCGATAGATCAAAGCCTCCGTCCGGCTCAGCCGTGAGCTGAGCAGGCCCCGCAGCAGGATGGGGACAGGGGCAGGCACAGTGCCCTTACTATCAGCACCCCTGGCCCCCAGCACCCCCCACCGTGGCCTCCAGCCCCTGCCTCCCCTGCGGGGCTGGGAATAAGGCGCCTGGATTTGTCCCTTTTGTCTCGGCAGCCGTTGGGGAACAAGCAGCTGGCCTTCCAGCAGCAGCTCCTGCAGATGCAGCAGCTCCAGCAGCAGCACCTGTTAAACCTGCAGCGCCAGGGCCTGGTGAGCCTCCCGCCAGGGCAGGGCACGGTGCCCCTGCAGACCCTTCCCCAAGGTAAGGACCCCCACCCGGGGTGGCCCCCACAGGGTGGGGAGGGGCATGGCTGCAGATTCCCCTGCTCTGGGTGAGGGGGGCTGGGGAGGGGCTGTTGCTTTTCCTAAAGTTGGGGTCTGATGGCATCAGCGGTCAGAGCTGGTGCAGGGTTGGGCTCCTGGGTTCCTTTGGCAGAGGAGTGCAGGGCTGGGGCACCCCTTCCTCTGGCATTGGGGTGCCAGGGTGTGGGGAGAAGGGGTCTCCTCCCTTCTGGGAACAGCTCTGTGTGGCCCCCTGGGTGCTGAGAGCGCCTTGTTTTGGGCTCCCTGGTGGGGCTGTGCAGCCTCCCCTTGCCACTGCTGGTGTCGTGGGCTGTGCCTGGCTTTAGGTGATGGTTTCCCAGTACTGGGTGAGATCTGGGGAGCTGAGCTGTGCCAGGGGGCAGGGAAGGACCCTGTGGTGTCTGTGGGTTCTGCCCCGTGCCCCTGCTGACCCTGGGCGCTCTCTCCTGCCGTAGCCGTGTGCCCCTCGGACCTCCAGCAGCTCTGGAAGGAGGTCACGGCCGCCCAGCCCGTCGAGGACAGCATTAAGCAAGAAGGTCTTGACCTCACCACCAACACCTCCAACTCTACCTCGTTTTCGGCCGCCAAGGTCTCGCCTCCCATCTCCCATCACCCTCTGCCCAATGGGCAGAGCACCATGCACACGCCGAGAAGGGACAGGTAGAGCCGGGTCGGGCCCTGGCACTTTGTGTTTTTATTCCTGGAGAGGTGGAAGGGGCTGGGATCTGTCGGCTGTGGGGTTGGCAGCAGGGCTGGGGGTGGTGAGGGGAAATTCTGCCTACCCCGTAAACAAGTCCTGTCGCTGTTTGGCTGCGCCCACGTGCCCGTGGAGGACAGTGAGCCGTCCTTGGGGGGGCTCCTGTGGGTGCCCGAGGGCTGTCCCTGTGTGTGGGAATGCTGGAGCGTCCTGGCTGTCCTGTCTCATGGCCCCTTTCCCTCTTCTGCAGCTCTTCCCACGAAGAGACCCCCGGCTCCCACCCGCTCTACGGCCACGGAGAGTGCAAGTGGCCTGGCTGCGAAACCCTCTGTGAGGACTTGGGACAGTTTGTCAAGTAAGTGTCCCCTTTTTGGGGGAGGTGTTTTTTTTGGAGAAGGGGACAACCCACACTCTGAGGCTGGGACAGAATGGAGCTGGTAGAGGGGAAGACTCTGGAAGTAGGTCCAGACACCCCAAAGTGTCTGCCCAGAGCCGGGGGACCCCATGCAGAAGGAGAGAACACACCAGGGGCTGCTGCTGGAGTTCCCCCATCCCTGGAAGTGTCCAAGGCCAGGTTGGACAGGGCTTGGAGCAACCTGGGCCAGTGGAAGGTGTCCCTGCCCAGGGCAGGGGGTGGAACTGGATGGGCTTTGAGGTCCCTTCCCACCCATCCCATTCGATGAGTCGATGATTCCAGAGAAGGAGGGACCCCGTGCAGGAGGCAGGAGCAGGCAGGCGCCGGCAGCAGGCGTGGGGGGCTCCCAGCTCCCTCCTGGGGGGCGCAGGGGGGAGCAGATGGCAGCGCGGGAGCCCCGCTGACACCGCTTGTGGGCTCCGGCGCTGACTGATTAACTCTGCTGTCGGAGAGCCCTCTGCCAGCGTCAGGGTCAAACAAATTGTTTTCACGCTTCGTCAGAGGTTTACTTAATTAGTTCATTTGCAATTAGATCTCTTTGTAGCCAGGATTTTTAGCAAAGACATCAGAAGGAACTGACGGGCTTGCTCGCTCCTTCCCCCGCCTCCCCGGCTGTCTGCTCGGCCGAGGCGCCAGGCGTGCACTGTACTCTCTATCTGCCAGCTTTTGGGGTTTTACAGGCTGACCCTGCCCACTGCCACGCCTCTGGCTCCAGTAGGAGCACCCCTCAGACCTCACCAGCCTCCTCATTCCCAGACCAGGAGCTGGGCAGAGGCCTTACACGGGAGGATGAGGAGGTGTGAAGGCAGCCTGGGGAGGTTGGGGTGGTGAGTGAGTGATTCAGGCTCCTGTGTCCTTCTTCCTCTGCCTCTGACTCATGGGTGAACCCAGATAAGGCATCTCCTCACACCTCGCAGGGCATGTTTGAATGGCACAGGGCAGATGAGCAAGCTCTGGTTTGGAAGTTGGGGCTGGAGTTGGCAGCAGATGGCCGGGGCTGGGTGACAGTGCCAGGAGAGCTGTGCTGTGCCAGCCAGGGCTGTGGGATCCCTGCATCCCACCTGCCTGCCCCCTGAGCCCAAGCTTCCCGAGGGACAGCCTCCCAAAAACACTGGTGAAGGGTTTCTGTCCACTCTCTGCTAATGTGGGGACATGTCAGGGTGTGGGACGGGCAGATAGAAAACTTCCAGCTCCCAAAGGCCGAGCTTGGATGGAGAGCGGGCCTGGCCTCGATTCTGAGCACCAGCTTCGAGCCTCCTCTGAGCATCTCCTCCATGGAGCAGCTCAGAGAGCCCCAGGATTGGGGTGGAAAGGGGCAGCATGGCCTTTGAGCAGTAGTTTATGAGGGTGAGGGTCAGTGGGAGGTGTCTCATTCCTGCTTGGCACAGCCCAGGCCCTGACAGCCTTTTCCCTGGAGAAGCAGCCGTGCCCTCGGTCTGCCACGCAGGGAGAGCAGCGGGGCTGAGGCACCAGGGGCTTTGCTCACCTGCAGGCTTGGCAGCTGGGCCCAGTTACCTGGCTTGTTTGTGCAGATTGGGGCTGGAAGTCTCTCACAATCAGCCGGGTGAGACTCCTGCTGTCTTCTGCATCCAGACTGAGGGTGGAGAGGAGACACCTTCTCCTGGGGGGCATCCCCAGGCTGCTGCTTTGCTGGGTTTGGGGGTGAGGACCCCCACAAGGATGTCCCTGCCTCTGCAACAAGTGTCGTCCTCAGGAGTCCTTCCCCTCCCCGAGGAGGAGAGAGAGCAGTGAGGACCAAAGGTCCTTCTGCTTCACAAACATAAAGCACCTCCTAAACACGAGTGGTAGGATGGGGAACACCCTGGAAATGCCACCTTCTGCCTTCGGGGGTTTCCTTAGAGGGTGTAAGTCGATCTCCATAATGACACCTTTGTCCTGGAAACCTGCTCCTCAGGTCCTCCTGGCACCTTCTGCCAGCAGCCTTCTCCAGGAAAATCCCTGGGCTTCCCATCAGCCAGTGGCTGCTCCTGAGTACCATGTGGTGCCACAGGCAGGGCTGGGTGGGTATGGCCACCCTCCAACCTGGGGAGGTGGCACAGCCTGGCGTGCTCAGTCACTTGCATGCCTCAGTTCCCTTTCTGCTCATCCCACTTCGGGCACCACTGCCAGAGCATCCCTGAGCAATTTACAGGTCAGGGCTGATCCCAGGTGTGGCCCCAGCTGAGGGGGAGCGTTTTGGGCATGTCCAGGCATAACCCTCCGTGTTCTCCTCCCCAGACACCTCAACACAGAACATGCACTTGATGACCGAAGCACGGCCCAGTGTCGAGTCCAGATGCAAGTGGTACAGCAGCTGGAGATACAGGTGGGTGCTGCCCCTGCCTCCACAGACACGGGTGTAAAAAGCCATTTCCTTCCCCCTCTGCACTCTGTGCCTTGGCTGCTCTCCTCAGCGGGGAGTAGGGAGGTTGGGGAGCGTAACCACCCACCTGGGGACTCGTTTCGAACATCCTTCCCGGACAGCAGTGCTGGCCCTGGGCTACATCTGGGTGGAGATCAGGCCCTGGGCAAATCTCAGTCTGATTCCCCCCATACCAGCATTCCTGTATGACTGTGGTGGGGCTGGAGGAAAGGACAAGCCCTCCCTCCTGCCCAAAGTGTCCCTGTGGGTACAGGGAGATGCCACAGACGTGGAAGGCACGTGCTGCCAGGAGGGTTCATGCTCACAGGTGGGACATGAGCTGTGCCACCTCCGTGGGAGCTACAGGGCCACTGGGGTCCTTGGAAATCAGGCCACTTATTTTGGTGGCTGAGCATGGTCTGTGGAGCCCAACTTTGGGGCGCTATTTTTGGAAAGGCAGTGCTTTAAATAGAGCCTCTCACAGCATCTCTGGCTCCTGACGTGCTGTGCATAATTCAGTTAATGGAGAAGGGAGGGGGATGGGGGGGGAAACGGGGAGTTTTCATCTCAGGACTTGAAAGAGGGATGGGGCAGGGGTCTGTCAGGGGGTCAGTCACCCAGACCCCCATGGTGTGACAGTGCCTGGGTGCCCAGCTGGGGCTGGCAGGAGCTCAGGGTAGTGTGTGTGTGTGTGACATCACAGGGTACACTGGCCTGGGGGGGGGCAGTGGGATGTGATGTGGGGCACCCTTGGGAGCCTCCACCCTGAGTCACAGCAGCTCGGGGCGAACTGTGGGATGGGGGGGAGGCTGCAGCCTCCTGGGTGATCCCTGCGATCCATCCTGCTCCCCAGCCCTCGCCAAAGCGAGAGGTTGAAAGCAATTACTGGGGCTTAAAGAGGGGAGGGGAAGGAAGGGGGGAAAAAAAAAAAAAAAAGCTGAAGGGCGAGCAGAGCTGTGTGTGCAGAGAGGAACCTGCCACGGAGCCACCAATTATGAAGTTTTGAGCGCGGAGCTCCCGCTGTGCCGGCGCGGAGCGTCTGCATCACGAGGGGAGACCTGTCAGCTCTAATGAGCACCACGACAGCACGAAAGCATCTGAGCTGCTCCAAACTTGCGGCAAACTCCGCTCTGGCTCCTGCCTTTAACTCCTTCCTCGCCCGGCCCCGCCGCCTGCCCAGGGACGAGGCTGGGCTGGTGGGAGCCGGTGGTGTGCGGGGAGGTGGCCGAACCCCGAGCTGTGAGGGTCACGGTGGAAAGGGAAGGTGACGGGGAGAGAGCGGGTGTCAGATCCCATCGCCTGCGCCGGGCTCAAAATCTCTCCTGGTGCCACAGTGAATATTTCACCCTTCTCCGCACTCTGGGGAGTAAACAGGCGGGGAGGGAGCAATTAGAGCGATGTTGGGCGTCCGGGTGGATGGGTGGAGGGGTGGGTGGGGGGACAGGGAGCTGCTGGGGAGCAGGAGGAGGGCGAAGGGGACAGGGACGGCAGGCACCAGGGCACGGGGATGAGAGCACCCAGGAGAGAGCGTGAGGGCTGTGGTGGGTGGCCTCGCTGGTGAGTGGCAGCATGGAGGGATGGGAAGGGCTCCCTTTCACCGTAGATTTTTCATCGAACTGCACTCATGGAGCTGGAATGGCCCCCATGCCCCCCACAGTGGGTGCTGCAGGGGACATAGAGGGTGCTGCCTGCCCAGGCCGGGGCTTGGGGCTCATTGGCAGCTCCTCCAGGCCATGGGCACCTCCATGGTGAGTTGGGCACTGCCTGACCATCTCCCTCCTGCTTCTTGCTCCCCACAGCTGGCCAAGGAGAGCGAGCGTCTCCAAGCAATGATGGCCCATCTTCACATGAGACCTTCAGAGCCAAAGCCTTTCAGCCAGCCTGTAAGCGTGAGTCCCTTTCCTGCCCTCTACATCCCCACAGTCACCCCCTCTCCTCCCCTTGCCCCTCACTGCTGTCCCCTCCCTGCCCCGTGCATGGTCACCCCTGGGTGGGCTCTGTGGGATGGACATTCTCCATCACACACAGCCTGGTCCCTTGTGCTGGTGCACATCAAACAGGAGGGAGATGCAGCCTGTGTCAGGGTGTTGTGCTGCTCTGGCAGCCCTGGCGTGGAGTGGATGCATCCAGGCCTGTAGGTGCATCCCCTCCCATGGTTGCATCCTCTCCCTTGGTTGCATCCCATCCCTGCCAAGCCCAGCAAGTGTCCCCCCTGTGAGCCCCTCCCTGCCTGCTCTGGGGCATGAGCCAGCTCAGCCCCTGCCTTCCCAGCCACCCATCCTCCCTCCCCCTGTCCGTGCAGCTGAACCTGGTCTCCAGTGCCACCCTCTCCAAGAGCACTTCTGACACGTTCCCCGATGGTTTACCTCATCCCCCCACCTCCGCCACGGCGCCCATCACCCCCCTGCGGCAGGGCCCCTCCGTCATCAGCTCTTCCACTTTACACAACGTGGGGCCCATCCGCAGGAGGAACTCGGAGAAGTTCTGCACCCCGATATCTTCAGGTGAGCTGCGGGGTGGGGCTCAGCACCCTCCACGGTGCAGTCCCTGGGTCCCAAAGTGGGTCCCCTCAACCCTTGCCCCCCCCTTTCTTGTCGCCCCCCCCCCAGAGCTTGCACAGAATCACGAGTTCTACAAGAACGCCGACGTCCGGCCGCCCTTCACGTACGCGTCGCTCATCCGGCAGGTCAGTGGCTGCACGGGCTGTGGGGTCCAGCTCTGGAGACCCCGAGACCTGCCTGGGGGGCACCTCGGCCACAACTGTGCTCTCTCTCTGTCCTGGGGGAGCCCCCACACCCACTGAACCCCCAGTTCTGCCCCTCGTGCCTCACCACGGGAAGGGCGTCGAACCCCAGGGCAGCAGCGTGAGTGATGCTCTTGTCCCCTCTCTGGTTCCCCCAGGCCATCCTGGAGACCCCCGACAGGCAGCTAACGTTGAATGAAATCTATAACTGGTTCACGCGGATGTTTGCCTACTTCCGGAGGAACACGGCCACCTGGAAGGTGAGAGCAGCCCTGCTTGGCACCGTGGGCTCACCCCGTCCCACCTGGGACTGGCTGCTAAGGGAGCTTGTGTGGGCACCTCTGGTAAAGGACCAGTTCATTGCATAGCTGGGAGATGGTGCAGGAGATGATTTTATGGATAAATCCCCCATTTCCCCCCCCCAAAATGCGTCCCTGGTCTGCGAGGGCACATCATCCCTGCGCTGTAAAATCCTGGGCTTTTCTGTGGAGCTGAGGCTGGAGGAGAAGGGCAGAGGCAAAACAGAGACACTTGAAATAGCCAAGAAGGTTAATGATGACCTGGGGGCAGGTGACTCTGAGGGACGAGGTGGCTGGGCCTCAGTGTGGCTGGGAGTGCAGGTTCTGGGCCAGGAGGATGGATAGGGAGTGGATGGATGGGGAGTGGAGGTGGCAGGGGGACCATCAGCGAGGGGAGCTCCTCTGCCAGACCCCAAGCAGGTGTCTGTGCCCATCAGGTCCCCCACCCAGTGCATGGTGCTGTACAGGCGGGTACTGAAAGTTTTTGTCACTGAGGAGCCATTTGTAACCGGCCTGGGCTGATGGAGGTGAATTTTGGGGCAACACGTGGGTGCTGGGGGTACTTCCCCTTTGGTTATTTAGAAATTGAGAGCCGAGAAAACACATCTCAGAGGAGCAGGGAGTTGTGGAAGGAGCAGTTCTGTGGTTCAGTTACTGCCTTGACCAGGAAAGGTCTATTTATTTATTTATTGTTTCCTGCTGCACGTATTTAGCGAGACACAGCTCAGCTCCCTCCTGCTCAGGGCAACAAGGAGTGAAGTGGCAGAGGGACACGTGTTAGTTTAAAATGAGAATAATTAGAATCAGCGAGGTGCAAGCGAGATGGAGCGTTTTGAGAGGGTTGAGGAGGAGGAGGAATCGGTTCTCCTGGAGCCCAGGGCCCCCGTGTGTCGCTGTGGCAGATCCGAGCTGGGATCTGCAGGGAACTTCTGGGTGAATAACGGGCGTGTTTTGGCTCCCCAGCACTCTGGGTGGCCCCTGGAGCACGGCCCATCCGGAGCATCCCGGCATTCCAGGCGGGAGGAGGGCGCTGGGATGGAGCTGGGCGGGAGCAGCCGGGTGCTGGGGGCAGTTTTGGGGTTGGCCACGGGCTGTGTCGGTCTGGAGTGCCCCTCGCTGCACACGGGCAGCACTGCAAGTGCCCCTCTCTGGAATGAGGGACTGGCAGGTGAAATGTCTTTTTCCCGCCTTTTTATCGGCTGAAAGGAATAAATATTTTGGGAGGTTTTTTGCGGCTTCCCCTCACCCTGTGTTACCAAGGGCAGAGCTGGAGAAGGGCATTTCCCAGCCCTGCTTTTTTTTTTATTCATTTTATCCTGTTCTGTCACCAAAAGGGATGGCAGGAGATTAAAAAGAGCTGGAGGGGGGATACTTCCCTTCGTAACTTCCAGTGTCCAAGGTCAGGCTTCTTCTTCTGGAGTGGGATACACAGGAAAAAATTGTGTGTTTCCTCTCTTTGAAAACCACCATTTCTGCTGCAGCTTCTCCCTCATCTCCCTGGGGTGGGACAGGGGTGCTGGGGACCAGGGTGGGTGCCCCATCCCCACAGAGCAGGGGGACCCACGGGGAGCCCCCAGCACAGCCCGGGGAGTGGGTGGAGGGTGTAAAGCAAACACCATCAGAGAGGAGAGATGAGAAGCAAACAGAGCAGGCGGGTCTGGCTCTGAACAAATACTCTGTCGAAATACAAAAGCCACGCTGGGCTGAGGCACCGTGGGGGTGGATCCCATGCCAGGGGGGGCTCGCCTGGCACCTCCTCCGTGTCCTGGGCACAGCACCCTGCCCGATGCCCGGCACAGGGATGGGGCATCCCAGGCTCTGGGAATGCTGAGCCGAATCCTGCCCGCTGCCAGGATTCATTTTACCTCCACTCGAGCCTCTGCAGGCACATCCCCACCTGGGTGCTTTGGAGCAGGGGGTTGTCACCAGGGAGAGAGGGGGGACATGGGCACTGCTGGGCCTGTGTCTCTGTGGGCAGGGAAGGTTCTGCTGTGCCACACTCGTGGCTGCAGTCAGGGCATTGCTTGGATGAGCAGTCCCCAGCACAGGGAGGAAGGGGGAAGGGGAGCGTGGGCAGGATCCGGCGAGGGAGGGACGTCCTGTGTTTGCTCACCAAGGGCAGCGGGTCAAGGGCAGGGGAAGGCCCCAGACCTGGCTGGACTTCAGGCCCCAGGCAGGGGATGGTGTTAGGACAGAGTGGGGGACAGGGGCTTGTCCCGCTCCCCCGTGGATTTCAGGGTCCTCCTTGGAATTCCAGGTCCCTGGGATGTCTGTCTGCCAGGGCTGTGCAGCCCGACCCTGGGAGATGCCAGCGTGGGGTTGGAGGCTGAGTGGTGCCTCCCAGCAGGGCATGGCCCAAATGGAGCGTGGCCCTTTGGGGGACAGTGACAGTGGCTCTGAGCTGGGACCTGGCTTCAACCACGCCTGAGAAGCTGGGTCAGCTCCTGATCTGTGGGGTCCTGCAGGGGTTCCCCCCAAAAAATCCCATCAGACAGCACTGACTGGGCCTGAAGTTCCTTCCCCAGGAGCCCTGAGAAGCTGCTTACAGAGTTTCCCCTTTGGACCGTGCTCTGCCAAAGGGCCAAAGGCACCAGAGCCCAGCCCTGCTGCCTGTCACCTGTCACCCAGCCATGGTGCCAGCAGCGGGCACCACGGCCAGAAGGGGGTGAGGGGAGAGAGGGATGGATGGAGGACAAGGGAAGGGCCCAGCTTTGTTTGTTTTCCTCCTTAAATGAGAAGCGAAAGGGGCGCTGGTGCCATCTGATGAGTTCCTGGGCACTCTGGCACTTGGCAGCGCGGGGGGAGTCGGTCCTTGTGCCTCCTCTTGCCTTGTTGTGCTGGCCAGCTCCTTTGTTTATACAGCCCCCGTTCGACCTTTTAAATTGCTGTTAATGTTTTAGCGTAACGAATTAGTCTCTCATCACGAATCAGGACTCGAAATAAAAAAAAAAAAAAAGAGAGAAAAAAAAAACCCTCCGAGGCCAACTTCCTGAAATTGGGGTCATTCTCATTTGCAAGGCAGAGAATCTGAGAACCTTAATGCAAGGAAATTTATTCAAAGGCAGAGCCCCGGCGTGATTAGGCCCTTTGTAATTATAGCTCGGAGAGATTCCACTCCAGCCTCCTGCCTCCCTCATGGATTAGCAAGTGAGTCGGAAAAATACACAGGATTTAATTAGAGGCAAATTAAAATTGGTAATGAAATAGGGGCAGTAGCAAATGGCAGGGAGTTGGAAGGGGAAAAGGGAGCTGGTATCTCTCGGGGCTGTGCTGTCTGCCTACGTGTGTGTCTCTTTATTTTACATTTAGAAATGTAAAGATGGTCGATGTAAGGAAGAAAGGGAGGGAAAGGACCAAAACGGGAGGGTGGGGGAAAGGAAAAGAAAGGGGAAGATTAGCTGAGCAGAGAGCGGGGTTCTGCTCCCCGTCCTTGCTGCTGTCACTTTGTCCCATACTGTCCCCATCTTCGTCAGCATCTGGCCAAGGTCCTCGAAACAGGGTCGTGTCCCATGTGTGGTTTGGGGGCTCAACAACTCAACCCCCTCAGTGCTGATGGAGTGGGGGAGCTCTCACAGCAGCTTGGGTGGCTTTGGGGAGCCTTGGGGTGGCCAGGACAGCCCAGAGCTGTGGGGACCTGGCCGAGGAGGAGGATGGTGAGGAAGAGGAGGATTTGGGCAGTGGGATGAGGGTCATACCACTGAGCTCCTGCCCTCTCTGCCCACAGAACGCCGTCCGCCACAACCTGAGCCTGCACAAGTGCTTCGTGCGCGTGGAGAACGTCAAGGGAGCCGTGTGGACCGTGGACGAGCACGAGTACCAAAAGCGAAGGCCACCAAAGATGACAGGGTGGGTGCTCCTCTGCCATGGACACAGCCTGGGAGCTGTGCTCACACCTGCCCCTGCTGCCGGTGTCCCTGTCCCCAGGCCAACAGCACTCAGCCTTGCACCCTTCTCTCCTTCTCTTTCTGCAGGAGTCCGACCTTAGTCAAAAATATGATTTCAGGACTCGGTTACGGAGCACTTAATGCAAGTTACCAGGTAAGGACCCTGTTCTGTCCCTGCCTGGGACATGGGGGCACTAAACCCCTCCACGGCCCCATTTCATCAGGAACTGTAGTGAGGGACAAGGGGAGTGGCTTCAAACTGAAATAGGGGAAATTTAGGTTAGAGATACAAAAGAAGTTCTTCCCTGTGAGGGTGGGGAGGCCCTGGCACAGGCTGCCCAGAGAAGCTGTGGCTGCCCCGTCCCTGGAAGGGGTTCAGGGCTGGGGTAGAGGGGCTTGGAGCAACCTGCTCTGGTGGAAGGTGTCCCTGCCCATGGCAGAGGCTGGAACTGCTGATCTTTGAGGTCCCTTCCAACCCAAACCGTTCTGGTTCCGTGATGCTCCACGCTCTCTGTTGCAGGCTGCGCTGGCAGAGAGCAGCTTCCCGCTGCTCAACAGCCCCACCATGATCAACACCAGCTCGGCCAGTGCCATGCTGCACGTGGGCCACGACGACGTCAGCAGCACCGTGGAGCAGGTCAACAGCAACGGCAGCAACAGCCCACGCCTGTCCCCGCAGCAGTACAGGTCAGCCTGGGTGACATGAGGGACGGGGCTGGCGGGGGGCACTGGGGTGCTGGAGGGTTTGGAGCTAAAGGACAGTGACACACGGGGCACCGGGAGCTGCTCGTGGCTTTCCATGGCTCCCGTCCCCTGGGTGAGGAGGGTTTAGGACCAAGATCTTGGTGGGGCTGCGGCTGGGGGGGACCAACCCCCCGAGGCTGAAGGCTCCCCCCCCACAGCCACCCAGTGCACGTGAAGGAGGAACCAGCCGAGGCGGAGGACGACAGCAGACCTGTGTCGCTGATGGCCACCACCAACCAGAATGTGACGATTCCCGACGACAGGGACCTGGAGGAGGAGCTGCCAGTGGAAGACTTGTCCTAAGGACTCCTTCCTCCTCCCCACCGAGGGGCAAAACCCTTCCCACCCTCCCGGCCGGAGACCAAGCGACGCTCCCACCTCCCCAAGGTGACCTTCGGCGTTAACCTGTTCTTTAAAGGCACTTCCACAAAGCAAAAGGGTTTCCTTGGGGCAACAAGCTGTTGCTGCCGGCGCGTCCCTCACGCTCCCACTGCCCCGCGCTGCAGCCGCTGACTGACCGACCCGGCCGTGGGCACGTCCCGCGGCACGAGAAGCAGAAACCCGAGAGCTGGACTTTTTCTCCCCTCCTCCCTTGGTTAGTGACTGGTGAACGAGGATGGTAGGTTGTTTCTATCCGAAATGGTCCCTCCTTCCCTCCCCGTGCGCAGCAGGCACAGGGAAGGCTCCTCTGTCCCCTCTCCCCGCGCTGCTCGGCCGCCCAGCGGGGCTCCAACCCCGACCCCGCTGTCATCCCTCGGGCCCCGGGGGGTTTTGCACTAGGAGGGACCGTGGACCCTGCCCACGTGTGCTGCCTCCACCCAGCTTTGGGGGAAGAAACAGCAGAAACGGCGCTGAGTCCTCTGCCCTGCTCTGGATGTCGGGCTGCACCGTTGTCTCAAAGCTGGGGAAGGACGAGGACCCCTCTGCCTTGTCACCTCTGGCCAGTTGCTCAACTGTGTGGCAGGCAGAGCGGCCTCCCCACGCTCCTGCCCTCCAAGAGCTGGTTCCTGGCACCCAGCAGTGCTGACCATCCCAGCTGACTGCCAGTGCCAGGACACTTCTCCCCGTTCCTGCTCCGCATGGCTGCAGCGGGTGACACTTCCCAGCCCACGTGGGGGTGGCCAGTGGCCTGACTTTTGACTTCAGGGAAAGGCTCCCGGTCCCCTGCACGCCCCGTTCCACCTCCAAAGCCGGGGCAGGGTCTCAGTGGAGCAGGAGGGCAGAGTCCCCCAACACTGAGCCTCCTCCTGGGGGCTCCTGCGGAGGAGTTGGGGGTCATCCCATCCCGCTGGGAGCGAAGCTGAGCCCGGTGGATCCCTGTGGTGGCCAAACCTGGCCACGGCCCCCAAGCCGAGCCTGTTGCAGGGGGGCTCCTGCTTTCATCTTTTCTTTTCCTTATCCTTTTGTGTGCATCCAGATGGGAAGATACCAAAAGATTTCTAGAGACAGAAGGTCCGTAGTTCAGGTGAACAGATGGTATTAATGCCAAAAAAAAAAATATTAATAATAATGAGAACAACACAACCAAACACCCCTCTTCTCCCTGCTCTTTCTTTCTGGGGTGGTGATGTGGGTACCCAGTGCCCTGTGCTGGCTTCAGGGAGCATCACCTTCCTTGGGGAGCAGCACTTTCCCTGGCACAGCCGGGCTGGCACTGGCTGTCCTGGCACACAGTGGGGTCCTGAGGGACTCGCTGTGATGGATGTGGGGCTGCTCTCGTTTTTGAGCCCAGCTCCAGGCTCTCCCAGAGCGATCCCGAGGGCTGTTCCGTCCCTCCCTGTCCCTGGTACTCCGGGATGAGACGCTGGGGAGCTGCTGTCCCCACAGGACATGGGGCTGACACCCTGGGAGCAGCACTGAAAATGCAGCGCACAGCTATAGGTGATGGGGGGTGGGTTTTGTCCGTCCCCACGTCACCTCTGTGACCTCCCCAGGGGGCTCCTGGTGCTGTGGGGTGTCCCCAGGGTGAGCCCGAACTCCACTCATCCTTTTCACTGCCTGAAGCATCCTCGATACCCAGGTGGCTGCAGAGAAGGGGGTCCCTGACTCCCCCCTGCAGCCGGGGGGAGGCTGAGCAGAACCCCCCACCCCAGCCGTGTTCTCCTGTGCCACCCCCTGTATCATCCCCTGGGACCCAGCCCGGTGGGGCTGTTAACGGGGAGTCACCTGCACCCCCTCCCTGCTGGGGCTGCAGGGGTGCTCTTTCCCATTCCCAAATCCGGGGTTTTCCCCGCTCCCTCCCGCGGGTCCCCAACACCCCTGTAGGTGTCACCCGCGCTTCTCCCGCGCCGCGGCTGCCCGAGCTCCGGGACAGCCCCTTCCCGGCCCCTTCCCGGCCCCTTCCCCCGCTCCCGGCCCCTTCCCGGCCCCTCCGGCCCCGGCCCCGGCACCCCCCGGGCTCTGCCGGACACCAAAGACCCTGCCCGGGCCGGGGGGCACCACCCGACCCCCTCTTTTGCATCCCTGTCCCCCCATCCTGCCAAAGGAGCTGCGAGGCTGGAGGCACCGGGAATTTTCACCACCTACTTTATTTTATCCTCTTTTTTTTTCTTTTCCCTTTTCTTCCCTTTTCCCCTTTTTTCTTTTTTATTTTCCTTTTCTTCTTTTTTTTTTTTCCTCCCCGTTTTCTCTTTTTCCTTTTTTCCCCCGTTTTTTTTCCTTGTTCCCAGTTCTTTTAAGTTATTGTAGTACCAAGTTTACAGCTGGCACGGGGGGTGTTGCTGGGGGACAGTGTCACCCATTGCTGCTTTACTCGTACGAAGGGGCAGGGAGGGATGGACAGGCTGGACCTCGGGGTGCAGCCCCTGAGCCCCTCCCTGCTGCTCGGCCATGGTTCACCCTCCCTGGGGAATCACCTGCCTCCATCCAGGCTTTTGGGATTTCGGGGTGGCATCTCCCCAGGCAAGGGTTATTGTGCCTCTTTGGGCAGTGCCAGCACCCACTGTTAGACCCCCTCACTGCTTGGAGGAGGTTTCAGTAGCTGCTCCCCATTTTTTGCCCTTCCTGGTCCTTTTCCCTCCCCTTCCTCCTGCTCTTTCATTTTTTGGCAGCTTTGCCCCCTGGATTCTCCATAAATCCAAGGTGGCCCCGGCACCCTGGCATTGCTGAGCCCTCCAGGGCTTCTTCCTCGGGGTATGATTATATATTTTTTTTAAGCTTTTCCAGAGGTACAGACCCCCCTGAAATGCCTCCCAGGGCCTCCAGATCCCCATGGATTCAGCCAAAATCCCTGTGTGCCATCATCACCCCCCAGACCCCGTGAGGAAAACCTGGCACCTTCCCCTCTGTGCTGAGTATTCCCAGAGGTTTTCAGCTGCCATCCCGGCTCCCAAGAGCACTCTCTCTATATATTATATATATATATAAATAAATATATAAATATAAAGGAGTTTTTTTCTTTAAACACATGCACAGGTTTGGAAAGTCCTGTGGCTCCAGGTGATGCCTCTTCCCCGGGAATCCTGGTGGGTGATTTCACAGGAAATGTACCCGGTTTGATACTCAGGGGTAAATTTAATTCCTTCTCTTATCCCCTGCCCAGCCCAGCTGCCTCTGCAGGGTCCCACCTGAACCAGGTACTGTGTGTGTGTGTCCCCCCCACCTCACCCACCCCTCTCACCCCTCTGGTTTATTTTTTGCTGGTTTGAATTTTACTGAATTCTGCGTGTCTTACCTCAAACACACGCCGGAGGCCGGGGGGAGGGAGGATCAAGGACCAAACACAACGTGTGGCAGAATTGTATGTCTGTATATATTGAGATATATATATTCTGGGTTTAAGCCTACCAAAACAAGTGGTTCTTTTTGGGCTTTTCTGTATTTTTGTGTTTTATTTCCTGTTTTTGCCCAGCGCAGGGCACTTCTATGAGGGGAAGCTGTGGGCACCTCTCTGTACATAAAGGCATTTTTCTGGTATCTCCCACTGAAGGAATTACTAATTTTTCCATGTGTTTTTCCTTTTTTTTTTTTTTTTTTTCCCCTCTCAGTGATGTCTTCCCCCAGATAGCTCAAACAGGTACCCAGTGGAGGGGGGCAGAAACCAGTGCTCCAAGGGAGGGGGTGCTGGTAGCACTGGGGGGCTGCTGGGGAGGCCGGTGGAGGGGAAGGGAGAGCAGCAGCTGAACCTGCATCTAACCAAAGGGTTTCTTTGCTTTGTTTACACCCCTGGCCAGCCTCACGCCCCGGAGGTTCTCCCTGGATCTAGGTTTTTGTCCTGGAAGTGCTGGGGGAGGTCGGGACAGGCCAGAGCCAGGGGCTGGGGGACGTGGAGGTGCCCGCGATGGCCCCAGGGGAGCCCATGGCTCGGGCACATCCCACCCCTGGCTGCTCCGGGAAGCGCCAGCCCTGCCACAACCTTTTCCTGTTTTTCCCCATCTGTTCCCATCCTCTTTGGCGCTGGGTGGGAAGGTGATGCTGGGGAGGTGGGACGAGGCCCGAGGGGGCCGGAGGGTGGAGGGGAGGGAGGATGTGTACAAAGCGACCCCTCCCCTCCCTCCCGCCGTCCTCGTGCTGTATAAAGGAAATAGCCTCGCTGTGTATTTGTACTCTGAGCTCCGTGTGTCTGCGTTGGCAGACGGTAAACCCTTGTACAGTAGGTCTAGCTGCATGTAATCTGTATGGACAATGGCATTATAAAATGCAATAAAATAAATTACCTATCGTGCTGCTGTGCTGGCTGCTTTCTTAGGGTTGTTGGTTAAAACAAAAAAATGGGCGTTTTTACGGAGTCATTGAGGTTGGAAAAGCCCTCTGAGATCATCGAGTCCAACCTGTGACTGACCAACAGACCAGAGTGCCACATCCAGTCATTTCTTGAACACCTCCAGGGAAGGGGACTCCACCACCTCCCTGGGCATCTCCTTCCAGTGCCTGGCAGTCCTTTCCCCAAAAATGTTCTCCCTGCAAATCCCTGTAGGCCCTTCAGCAGCGAGGGAGCGATGGCCAGCAGCAAGGAGGGGACGGGAATGAGGTTCCAGATTCCAGCCCCCCGAAATGGCTGCTCCCATCTGTGTGCAGCCCCTGCCAATGTTAACAGACTGTTACATCCCCTTTCCCTCCGCCGCTCCCTCCCAGCCAAACTCACTTAATCTTTTTTCCAGTGGCGCTTTTCCAGGGCTCTGAGCTGCCTCCAGCTCGCCGGTGGCTTCCTGGGGTGTGCTGAACGTGCCTCTGCAGCCCCTCACCACCCACCTGGGGGGCTGAGCCAGCACCCATGGGTGCCCCAGCATTAGGGGGGTGGTGTCCCCATCCCC